GAAACTTTAAAATTTGCTTTATGATTATAAACAATATTTGCTTTCTCAATTCTATTAATGGCATGTAAAATTGTAAATGTGATGTTTGAATAGAATTCCTTTAGAGTTATAAAGTATAAAATAAAAACCGAAAAATCGTGGAAACCTAGATACGGAGTAAAATAAGATGTTAATTTGGTCCATATTTTCAAGATGTTTCCATTTTTTTGGTTTTGGTTTTATACTTTATTTCCTTAAATTGCCGACTGGTTCTGGCTTTTGTAGTTATACATAGTTCTTCTTATCCGTTATCAGTATAGCAGATATAGTAATCTGTCAGCAACTCGAGTGGCCTACCACGTGTGTTTCAGCATAAAACCACCAACACACAACATGCGTAATCATACAGATGTAATTCAATTTAGTCGAAATCTTAATTTATGTCGCTCCAGACATCCATTTTAGATGATTCGGAGAATTAGGACACTGAAGACAAAGGTCAAGTTGACATACAGAATCCCTTTTTCGTACATTAGTACATTTTTATCACAAAATGAACACCATAAATATCGATTTTAAATTCAATTCATCAGTAATAAAACCAGATTTTTATACCGTTTTATTTCTTATACATGCAGTAATTACCATATTAGGTACAGCAATGTCGATGGAAGTTATTCTTTTTAAAAACATAAATTTTCCTTTGCACTTAAAGTGGTCGTGCGTGGGAGTGCCTAGTATATGTTTATAATGGGCGTTAGTGAAATGTTCGGGCAAACTACCAAGTGACCTCCCGAAAACTTATGCAAAAGTTCATCTGAGAGGTTCAAGCTATTGCGCATCTATATTATCCCGCTTTTAAATGAAGATGCAAAATATTCTTTAAAAATATTTTTCCCACGTTTCAGACCAGACCGTAATTCGTAAACAAGATACAATGACAATGTACAAATGATTTTCTTTCTGTCAATCAACCGTAATCTGGTATTTGTCTCCCTCAGAGTCCGTTTAAGAGCCTTCCTATACAACTAGACGTATATATGACCTCATTAAAGCCGGTGTGTCAAACAATCTCATAATTTCACACGTTCTGCTAAAACTCATGTTCCTCGTATGATAAGGGTTGGTGATGTCTTATTAACAGACATTTCTGGTCCCACACTAACTGCCAATCTAGCACAATAGTCCATAGACTCCACACAAATGCATGTCAAACTCATATGGTTTCTATATATAAGAACTGTTGATAAGTAATCAAGGTATATATCAAACTTCACTGATGGTCACTGATATATCAGGCGATAAAGAATGAACCTTTTAAATTTGGGGGAACGAAGAACTGTATGAGAATAAATGTTAGGGTTTAGTAGGTTTACCGTACCTGCAGGAGGGAAACGATTCACTTTCCCCGTTCTATAACCTCCCACGCTCACGTACAAATTGGGGAAAACAACAATTTTGTATATCACTCAATGTCGGAATGGACTAGCTCATAATTACTCATTACCTATTGAACTAACAATCTAGCTACTAATTTTCAACTCTTCGAAAACAAACTAAAATTTTTCCAACTACAATTAGCCTAACTATATGTAATCCTTAACTATATTTGTAAATACTTTATAATTTTAATATAAGCATAGTGTGGTTTAACACTATACTAGTGTAGATATAATATTCAAATACAACGACTCAATAAACTCCACCAGGCACCTTTACTTTATAAATATTAAGATGCCTGGAAAAATGCCTTTTACAAAGATACCTAAAAAAACGCTTTAAATGCCTAATAAAGATGCCTAGTAGAATTTATTGAGTCGTTGTATTTGATTTTACTTATTTATGTTCTGAATATCCATTGAGCACTCTAATTTTATAATATAGAAATATATTGCACGACCTCCCTGAAAAACACTAGCTAATTCGGTTAGTGGAGCTTCCTGAATAAAAATTATTCTTTTTAAACGCATGCGCGGAAACATATTTATCTTCATACAGGGGGTGCTCACCCGCAATGGTTGCATGGGTATATAAATGGCTGTCTCTGAAAAGCCCATTTGGGGAGTTGTCAATAAAATATGTCTGTAATGACTGTATATCATTCCGATCCAACCTTTGATATGGAATATTACATTCAAACACGAAAATACCCTTTTTTTCGCATTAGAGTACGTAAACCAGCATGGGCGTTGCGCATGCATTCGGTTCACCCGCCCAATTTACGTAATATAGTCATTATTACGCACAGGATATCGCGTGCGGTTGAACTATCCAAAATATGTATATAAATGTTGGCGTAGACGTAAAGTTTAATATATAGGAAATGCGGCTTTAGTGTCGATGACCATAACACACTTGACATTCTTTGCTTGATGTTAAGAGAAGTTATGAGTTAGATTGCGCGTATTCTAATGGCATCAAAGGTTGCGCGCAGACTAGCTTGAGAGTATAGGACTTGTTGAAAAGACTGAAATCCAGCTACTTGATTTAAGTTAATTATAGAAAGCGTTTTATCAATTCTTTGTCATTATACACCAACCTCTAATTCTATCCATATATACCCGTAGTTTTTGTCCAGTGAAGTACGTATACAATATCATAATTTTCTTTCACATTTTTCAAATTCATTTCCATTTATAGTGGTAAAAAAGCATGTTACTAAAGTCTGAATAAGGACGCAGATTAATTTACTAAAAGCAAGACATCGTGCTTTTGTCAAAAACAACAAGCAAGCCGAGTGCCAAATTCCTGTCTATAGAAACATACAACTGTTCTGTATTTATGAAAAGCATCGATCTTGTAACCACGCTCCTAGAGAACATTCATCGTAAGTTTCGTCTGCTGATCTATTCTCAGGACAAATCTTTGAAATCTAAGAGAGTGAAAGTGGTTAATCTCATTTTCAGTGAAATTACCCGAAAATGAACACTTCAAACCATACCGATCTTATTAGCGCACCATGTATTCCAGCACGTACTTGAAAATACTTGTCCTTAAATAATACTTGTACTCGGAAGGATTAATACTGATTGAAGTGATTTTGATCCAATTTTGTCGTAAAGTTGTTTATTTAAACCATCACACGTGTGTCAATGAAAGAGAGCTTACATGATTCATGCTTACTTGGGACAGACGCCAAAGTCAAGGACTCATTTTTATTGTTTATTCACGTTTACCGTGATTTCATAAGTTCAGGAATAAGAGTAACTGTCCGATAACGATTCTCGAAACTTAATTACATAAATTACAGATGAAGATAAAGATGCCCAGTCATTGGTGCATTTGTAATAGTCTAATAGATTGTCCTCTTTAACCATTCAGTTCTTGATCTTTCGAGTCCAGGTAGATAAACTGCCTTTCATTGATTTGTACACAAATGTACAATATAATAATTATACATACTGGGAACACAATTATAAAGTCCTTGAACAAACTGAAACAAGCGAATAAAACAATAAAAAACATAAATTTCTGCAGCACTTTGTTGTTCAAGTTTTTATTTGCCGCCCGAAAGTACAGGAAACGGGTACACATTTTCACTGGAGAGTGGAGAGGCAGGAGAGCATACCCCTGGACGCCACAGGTGCTGCTGCTTTATATTGATAAGTTTGACTGTTTTTGGTTATCCTAAACACTGACAAATTTGAAATAAATATAAATCCTCCTTTATTTATCATTGTAATATTATCTCTGTTATATTATTATATGTAGTGACCAGTAACTCGTTTTAGGGTTAAAGTTCTTCTTAAAATGTAATAACAGCTCATAAAATCAGAGTTTTCATGTTCTTCAGATCGAGACAGAAACTAGACAATATCAATATCACTCTTTATATCACCAAATCTGCGGATGCTTCCTCTCATGGCTCCAGAAAAAACAAGCCGTATTTTATCAAAACATTCTGGAATGTGGTCAAATTATTATTAGCCATTTCAGCATAATTTCTCAGGGACCAATCAGATCTCTCCATTCCCACGATGTTGATTCATGACGTTAATAGTTACATTCCTGAATGTTTTGATGTGAAAACATGACACGTTTCTTCAACCGAAAAGAAGCGGTTTTGATAATATGCAATTGCGCTCAACCTAGACAACTTCAAGTGTAGCATTATATTTACACCTGAAAATCCATTTTTATAAAGTATTTGCATTCCCTGTACTTCAAAAATGCTGCATGTGCTTCTAGTTAAACATATCCAAATTCGAACAAAGTCCAATAAATATGTTTCGGTACTTTGTAACGAGCTTTGTAATGCCTCACACCGAGTTTCTGACTGCATGTGAACTAATTGTACGTTTTGTTCTTTTAGATAGATCAGGCTGGTCCTAGTCTGTCCAGAGAAGTCTACTTCGATAGTAAAAAGGTAAGCGGAACGGGAATGACCCGCGACCTTTGGGATACTAGTCCAATGCTCTACGAACTGCTCTACCAAGACGAGGTCAAGTCGGGTCGAGTTGGCGCATGAATCATGATATTTCGGAACTGAGTCTAGTTCCTTCGATATCAATGTGATACTTTTTGTGTGTGTTGGTGTTATGTACTCAGGTAAATATGATGTTTGTGATGTTACTCTGACTCTGAGTGTGCATCCACACCGGGCAAGCTGAAACGTTTTCCTTACCACGGTGGGAATCGAACCCACGACCTTTGGGATACTAGTCCAATGCTCTACCAACTGAGCTACGAGGTCAAGACGGTTCGAGTTGGTGCATGATATTTCGGAACTGAGACTGGCTTCGATATCAATGTATTCTATAAGATATACTTTTTGTGTATGCTGGTGTTATGTACTCAGGGGAATATGATTATGGTGTTACTCTGACTGAGTGTGCATCCACACGGGGAAAGCTGAAAAGTTTGCCTTATTATACGGTAGGAATCGAACCCGTGTGGAATCGGTGGGAATCGAACACCAACACACACAAACAGTATGGATCCCACCACGGTGGGAATCGAACACCAACACACACAAAAAGTATCATATCTTAGAATACATTGATATCGAAGGAACTATAGACTCAGTTCCGAAATATCACCGACTTGACCTCGTAACTCAGTTGGTAGAGCAGTGGACTGGTATCCTAAACGTCGCGGGTTCGATTCCCACCGTGGTGCACACTCAGAGTAACATATGCACAAACATCATGTAAGTAGTAGAAATTAGATAAAAATCGAAATTTAAAATACAGATATACAGATATGAAATCTCAGTAGGTATTTAAATGTCCTTCTTATATATGGGTTTTTATTTCCTTATTTTTTATGATTAATAAAATTGAAGCGCTTTGGCACATATATTACCCTCAGTTCAACTAATTCCTCAACATCAACTACTAATTTCATGGAGCTAATTCCTTAATCGTTCCTCAACATCACTGAATAAAATCGCATTATACTGTACGTGCATTTTACAGTCAACAATAATAAGCATTAAAATTAGAAGTTACAACAAAACAACATGCAGTACAAGCTAAGAAGACAAGTGGCAGTATTAGAATCCTCTTACAATAATCCTTTGAAAAAGTACAATTAATTCTATATACATGCATGCACGTATATATACGAAATCCTTTATAAAGGACGTGTTTAGGATATTTACTTGACCAGCGAGCATATTTCTATTTATTTAAGTCAGATATGTTAAATCGATAGGATTAAGTGCGACATGCAATGTGGACTAAATTTGTTTATGATTTGTTGAATTTAATAAAAAAAAGATATTCAGGAAAATAAGTCACACGAGGTCAAACAAAGTGATAAAAGCAATTTAAGCAACAAAAGCAAAATAATCAAGTTGATGATTGAACAGCATTATTATTTATTTTTTATTTATTTATTAACTTTACAATCATACAAAAATTATAACAATGATTGAAGGTATGGTCAACAGGACATGAGTCCCATGTAAAGACCAACCTGATACAATACAATAAGTAGACATGACAAGGACAAGAACACTATTTACATATAGCTATATAAAAATTAATAGTTTAGATTATGAGCAACAGCTTAAGTTGAAAGAACGGCATTTAGAGCAGTAGGTTTTCCAAGTGCGCATTCTGTTAGCATGGAAAAAAGAGTTTAATTGAGAAGAGTAGTGAGAATCAGTAACTGTAGCTTAAAGGATGAAACAGACGAACTGTTACGAATGATCGGAGAGAGATTGTTCCATAGAAAGACAATTCGGTTAAAAAAAGAGTTTCTAAAAAGAGAGGTTTTGCACGGATTGACTTGAAGCAAGTTGTCATTGCTTGACCGAGTGCGCGAAATGATTAATTAAGCCATCGCGCTTTCGAAATATTACAAATGTTTCCTACTGCGGTTTGTACACACACACACACACACATATATATTATATATATATATATTATATATATATATTATATATATATATATATATATATATATATATATATATATATATATATATATATATATATATATATATATATATATATATATATATATATATACTTTCATGTGCAAAAATAAAACCGTTTCGATAAAACTTAAAATTGCAATAATTAAGCTGCCATCGGATTAACAAACTTTGAATCACGTAGTTCACCTAGCCAATGTAGCCACACTGCCACAGTAAGTAGATGCAGTGTAGGCTAGCTCAGTAATTGGAAAGTTTTACCTACGTTGAACACCTCGGTTGAGATATTGTAAAGCACAGTTTATTTTTCTCGTAAATTAGATCATCAAAGCATACACAGAATTCATCATAGATGTCGCTGTCGCTTTAAAAGCAGACCCGAAAGAAGCAAAAAAACAAGCAGAGGAACTTGTCGACTTTGAGAAAAAGCTGGCAAAGGTAGCGTGCCAATCTTGAATCAATATATAAATGATATCATAAAAATATATTGACTATTATTCAAATTATGTGTTATAAATCCATCATTTCCATATGTTCCTTGTGGATGAGATGTCCGCCATCTTATTGATCTTGGACAGCGGCGACTGCCATAGTGTTCATTTCTTGATATATAAGTTCTTCCTGCAATCACGTCATTCAAAATCGATTTCTTTCTACCTATATACTCGTTCGTATCTATACTATATCAAATATTTTAAATTTTCTATTCTTAAAAATGTCCTACATATAAGCATCGTTTTATTATTTTATCATTAGAACAAAAATTGTTTCTCTTGTATAACATGATTGTTGTTATTAATTCAATGTTCTCTTCACCTAATCCTCATTATACTACGTTCCAAACTTCGTTTCGAACGTCGCTAATTCGTTTCGAAGATATTATTACAACTCTTCGTGTTAAACATGTGTCTTCAAAACCTATTGTTCTGCTTCATTTAGATCAGTGTCCCAAGTGCAGATAAAACAGATACGTGGTTCAAACAAATGACGATGAAGGAACTGAGCCATAAATTACCACAGGTTTGGAATTTATAAGATCGTATCTTTCTAACAAAGCATTTCGTATTACCTTTAGTAATCATTTCGATAGAGATTTCTGCAGAATTATTAAAAACTTGAAAAGAAAAAAATGTTTGTGAAATATTTTTGAATGAGAAACTGCGATTATAGAAAAGCCTTCCTATAGTTAGTATGCCATCTGATATGGAATTTTTTCTTAAAAGTTAACCCAAGGTTTTAAAATAACCCATGCAGGTATTGTCTGAATGCATGGATCTGAAATGATCAGACTACCAACAAATATTATTTTTCACCTGAATATTTAGTTCCCGTGGCGACACTATGTGCAAGAAATATTCAGTCATACAAATATCTCCGACGACGAGCCAGTTATTGTTCCTGCACTTTCCTACCTGGAGAAATTTGAAGACATCACCAAACATGCATCAAAAACGTCAGTATATATACTTACAGTGTTGGTGGGTTTCAGTATGTGTTATGTATTAGGCAGCAGGTGCTGGCAAACTTAGAAATGTCGATACTTATAGAAGCATGCATGCAGAGGCTACTCTGGGAACTCGCCTAAACTCGCCACGAAATAATCGAGTTTGGCCGATTTAAGCAAAACTCCAACTTTTGAGCAATACGATTTAGGCGATTTAATCTCAGTCAATTTGGTTGCGAGTTTAGGCGATTTAAGGTCCCAAAGCAGGCCTAAGCAAGCATCTCTCAACTTTCTTTATTTCGCTTACAATATAAAAGAATGCAACACATAAATTTTATATTGTACTCTATTAACTTAATTTAGCCTTTAAACTACAATGTTTTTGACTCAATAAAGCATCTAATGAAAAGTGTTAACATTATTTCACCATTCTCATAAATACCGGTTGACGCCGCTGCATGTAGTGCTTAGTGAAATCATAGACAATCCAGAAGACAGGGACTGGAAACGCAAGCTAGAAATATGATGACAAATCGTGACATCCGTGATGTGCCTGTCACGTAGCAATTACTTGGTTACCACGGTAACAAGTCTTTAAATTTACATAAAAACAAAGGCAAATGCGTGTAGTTTATGCAAAATATATCGTAAAAAAAGCGTATTATCTGAATTTTGGGATCGTAGTCGTGGAGCGGCTATACTAACAAAGGTAGATACGTCCAAATTTTCATTTATTTCTATTTTATAGTGATGCTAAATGTAAAATTTGGATCGTGCTATCGGTAAATCGCGCACGCAGCAATTATTTCCAGAAAAAACTGCCAAAACTAACCCTGTAACTACAAACTTAACCTGTTTTGTCTTTGACGATGAAGCCATTTGAAATCACAAGATTGTAATCTATCGAATAGGCTATTTTTTATATCAATTTGGTATCAAATTCAACCAAAAATGTTTACTGAATTTGATTGTCAGAATTACGAATGTTGTTAGCCGGTGTCCCAGGATTTTCGCCCCCCCTACATTTTCGCCCCCCGGGGGGCGAAATTCCTAGGAATATCGCCCCCCAGGGGGGCGAAAATCCTAGGAATTTCGCCCCCCTTTAGGAAATTCGCCCCCCTTTAGAAACTTCACCTTTTCTTTAGGACTGTCGTCCTCCGTTCAAAATTTCGCCCTTCCTAACAGTTGCATGGGATAACGATTACATGGCTTTAATCATTTGAAATCAGTATCAATTCAAAATTGTTAAGACAGAGCTTGAAATAACAACCGATCACCGATCAATGATCGGCAAGGAATTGCTTATGATCGGCGGAAAAGCAGAGTTTCGGTTTCCAACCTGAAAAAAGCAGGGAAAGTCGCGACTGCCGATCACCATGGTCGGGAACTTTGGGAACGTTATTTCAAGCCCTGCATGTAAGAATACAAATTTACAATTACATGTATCGAAAGGGCTTTACACAGTTACAGTAGATGAATACTCAATAGGACTTATGACGCTTCACAGCACACCATGCATATTTTGCATTTTCAGTGTTAATCCTTAAACTCATTGTTAAAAAGTAATCACCGTGGTGGTTATTGTAATTATTGGTATATGTTTTGCATCCACGTTTTGTCGTTATCGGAAAATGTATGGTTTGTCACTATTTTTTACTTGCATTATTTCAATATAGTTTATAAATCTCAGAAGCGAAGGGTAGAACTTGCCAATAGGCAATAATCCAATAATATACGTTTCAAAAAAGACAAGAAAGCTTTTAGTTTTGCAGAGTTACATTCTCAAATGTTTAAGGCATGCACTAATAAAATCAAAGTATCATGAAATGATTTGAATAAACCACACCACATATATAATGCAATTTTCTTTGCGGAAGTGAAGAATTAAGATTATATCACTGACACGGAAAGTTGACGATTCAACGGACAATATAGTCAATACGCTTCCCAACACATTCCATGGATTTTTTACTAATCCTATAGTTTATTGTTAGCAAGTGATTACTGTGGCGGCTATTGTTAACACTCGTATTGATAAAATTTGCAAGCTTGTAATAAATAAATAAATCACACAATAAATCTTTTCAACTTGCAATCGTTTTGTTTTTAGATCAAAAATTCAAAATTTATATGGGGGGGGGGGCGAAATTCCTAAAGGGGGGCGATATTCCTAGGAGATTCGCCCCCCATATTGTTCTGAAAACTTGCTGGCAAAACTAACCCTGCAACTGAAAAATAAACAATTTTTGTACTTTGTGGTCAAAGTATGTGTAATCACAAGATTGTCATCTATCGAATAGGCTATTTTTTATATCATTTTGGTAACTTATTTGCCCAAAAATGTTTACTGAATTTGATTGACAGAATTACGAATGTCGTTAGCCGGCAATTGTAATCGTCATATTGTTCTAAAAACTTGCTGGCAAAACTAACCCTGCAACTGAAAAATAAACTATTTTTGTACCTTTTGGTCAAAGTATGTGTAATCACAAGATTGTAATCTATCGAATAGGCTATTTTTTATATCAATTTGGTAATTTATTCGCCCAAAAATGTTTACTGAATTTGATTGACAGACTTACGAATGTCGTTAGCCGGCAATTGTTATTGTCATATTATTCTGAAAACTTGCTGGCAAAACTAACCCTGCAACTGAAAAATAGACTATTTTTGTACCCTTTGGTGAAAGTATGTGTAATCATAAGATTGTAATCTATCGAATAGGCTATTTTTTATATCAATTTGGTAACTTATTCGCCGAAAAATGTTTACTGAATTTGATTGACAGAATTACGAATGTTGTTAGCCGGCAATTGTTATCGTCATATTATTCTGAAAACTTGCTGGCAAAACTAACCCTGCAACTGAAAAATAAACTGTTTTTGGACCTTTTGGTCAAAGTATGTGTAATCAAAAGATTGTAATCTATCGAATAGGCTATTTTTATATCAATTTGGTAACTTATTTGCCCAAAAATGTTTACTGAATTTGATTGACAGAGTTACGAATGTTGTTAGCCGGCAATTGTTATGTCATATTATTCTGAAAACTTGCTGGCAAAACTAACCCTGCAACTGAAAAATAAACTATTTTTGTACCTTTTGGTCAAAGTATGTGTAATCAAAAGATTGTAATCTATCGAATAGGCTATCTTTTATATCAATTTGGTAACTTTTTCCCCCCAAAATGTTTACTGAAAATTTGACGGGCAAAATTACTTTTGCGCCAACTAGAAGATGGCCATTTCTGTTGCCCTCACTTCGAACCCTGTAACTATAGTTTAATTAAATAAAGTTCAGAGTTTGTAATTTACATATTTTGAACAAAAATAGACCTGTGGATGCACTTGTCCCGTTTCCAAACTTATATCGGGTCAAACAAAGCCAAAAACCGCCTTTTGAATGTTTGCGTAATGTTTTTGACGGTAAAAAAGTCGCCATTGGCATTGCCATTGTTGTTGTCCGGCAAAGTTTGTACTCACTTCGAACCCTGCAACTACAGTTTAAATAAAGTTCAGGGTTTGCAATTTACATATTTAAAACAAATATAGACCTGTGGATGCATTTCTCCGGTTTTTAAACTTATATTGGGTCAAACAAAGGCAAAAACCACCTTTTAATGATTGCGTAATGTTTTTGACAGCAAAAAAGTCGCCATTGCCATTGGCATTCTTGTTGGCATTGTCGAAAGTTAAGAGTGTCAAACATACAAAACAAAACTCACCGTTAAAATAACTGAAACCTTGTTTTTATTTCTTTTTAATAATGGATGCCTTAGCAAAAAGGGTTTTCGAGAAAGAAAGGATTTGTTGTCAATAAAATGGAAGGTATATTAATTAAACCGAAATTGCCAAATTCAAATTTTAAAATACAGATCAAGGAAAACTTCGAAAAGATAACTTCAATCAATTTATATAACGTAATTACAGTGAAGCAAAACTGAATAAATATACGTAAACTTAATTAAAGAAAACTACAATACGCAAACAAACCTGAATCGTGCCTGAAAGTCCACCCCAAACTGGAAATCAAAATTTCGAACAAGCTCGAAAATTCTTTGCACTCGTCTCTGAATAAGCAGATCCGTTTTATAAACTTTACACACAATGTGATATACTTAACTCCCTTTTCAGTGTAGATTATTTAAACAATTTTCCAGCATATAAAGAGCTGTAAAACAGCAGACAAGTATCGGTCCACAATCTATCGTTTTATTCTTTTTCGAAGCAACAGGCCATTCACTCACATGGCATGATGGCACAAGCGTCACGCAAGCACATCACGGATGCCACGCGCAAAACATTAGGCGTTTACAGTCCCTGTCTTCTGGATTGTCTATGGTGAAATCCACCTATATATAGATTACATTACAGTTACATGTCAATTATTAGTAAGCTGATCGGCTCTTAATAGTGTATAAAAGCTAAATAAATTAACTTGAATACTAGCTCCAAGTTTCTTGTTTGGAACAGAGCTTATTAAAAAGCTTATCATATATTTTATTTAAGTATTCCTTATTTAATACTATATTCACTGACGTTATATATATAAAGCCAGTAAAACTGTAGTTTAAGGTGGCTCCCTACACTTTTTTAAATGAAAGATTTTCGGATTTGGATGATTTTCTGGACAATTATTACTTGTTTAAAAACGAAGAGTATCTGACTGGCATAACACAATAATTTTTCAAAAGCTACTTCTAACAGCCTTTGCTAACAATGACGTCACAACATGGCGGATATTTTATGTTTAAAGTAATTTAACTCGAAAATAACTTCGGTGACCCCCATTTTTTATTTCATAAAATGATTTCTATTGGTGTTTTGAATTATTTTCATGATTTTAAAAATTCTGTCATGCCGAAATTTTCAGAAGATAGGAAAATGTGAAAATTTTTTTTGCCATGATAGAATTTTTTTAAATCTTTAAAATAATTCAAAATACTAAAAGAAATCATTTTATAAAATAAAAAATGGGGGTCACCGAAATTTTTTTCCAGTTAAATTACTTTCAAGATAAAATATCCGCCATGTTGTGACGTCATTGTTGCCACAGCAACGGCAGTTAGGAGAAATGGTTAGGAGCACCTTTTTAAAAATTCCTAACTCCTTAGTTGTTGTGTTATACAAGTCAGATACTCTTTGTTTTTAAACAAATAATAATTCTCCAGAAATTCATATCCAAATCAGAAAATCTTTAATTTTTAAAAAGTGTAGCGAGCCACCTTAACTTGTTTTCTTCCGTTATGAACAAATAGTGCACATGAATAACCGTTTTACCCTACCCAAAAACCTCATACCCGTCAATGCATGGGAAACATTCTTGTGTAAAGATGCAAACCCTTTCCTCATCGTGCATTTTTTAAAAATTTTAATCATTCCTTTAATTCTAGTATTCTTTCCAATTACGTTGTCTGGAACGTAATCCAAGACGAGATTCCAAATCTTTCTAAGGAATTTCGTAAGATCCGTAATAATTACAAGAATAAAGTAATGGGATCACATGGTCAGAGAAAACGATGGAAAATATGCGTATCAATGACTAACGACTATCTTGGTGATGTCATTGGTGAAACGTATAGCAGAAAACATTTTGATAAAGAAAAGAAAGCTTTGGTATGTGGTCTTTTAATTAATATACTAGAATGCATTTTATACGCCAAGAAAATATTGTATCATTGAATTTGATTGAACAAAACCATCACTTTAATATCATCACAACTTACGCGGAACAATATCATACGCAACGGCACAACTTAAAAAAATACTGATCCAAGCCAGTCAGGTTGATTAATTTAAGGTCGTAGCTATACTATCGTTACGTTCTGGTAACGGCCAACGACCTTCAACCGGTCATCAATTTTTTTACTTTTTACTAGTGGTATTCGTGATTTGCTTAGATTATATTTGTCCTTGTGAACATTTGGCATCTCAATAGGCTCCTTGCTGTTAACTAAAAATACCTGTAATAGGTGACTGCATGGAGAGCGTCGAGACAGCTCTCGACTCGACAGCTGTGGGATTTGTAACGAAAGGAGTAAGACAAAGCACAGCATTTTTCTTAATCCGGATATATTTTTCAAAGTGTTTTTAGACCAGCTGCAAAGGGCTCGTTCCTTTCTAAAAACGATATCACTAATGGAAAAGCTCGTTAAAGGGAGTCAAATAATACATTTCCACTAAATTACATAACCAAACGAGATAGTGTAGCTTCACATTCCTTATGGATTATACCACACTTGCTTGAGCTATAATTTCATTACCTGAGATACAGGTAGCATAAAACATTCAGCTTTTCAGTTCAGTATTCTTTCTAAATCTAAAGGAACCGTGTATCTTCCCAATGTATTCTCTAGGCTAAGAAAATGATAGTGAACGTACGTAAAGCTTTTCAAGAAAATGTAGATGGACTGAAATGGATGGATAAGTCGACAATTGATGCAGTTCAAGATAAGGTCAAGAAATAATTGTTACAATAGTTTTTACAACAATCTGACTACAATAGTAATAATATTTATATTATTGATACTACAGTAGGCTACATCTGCATAACTATGCATCAGTCAAATGAATGCTATTAATTAAGACTATGATATATTAAATATTATAGTAGTAATTGTACTTGATTTTGTTCTTATCAGTTCTAGACATTCCCTGAGGGATGAACTACACTGTATCAGATTTTTCATCCTTCAACACTTTTCTATAATTGGTATTATTTGTGTCCGAAGAGTGTTGCATGCTGGTCTTTACGGGCAGGATATTTCGAAACTAATTACGAGAAATATTATACACCCTCACAATAAGGTTGTCCAATTAGGTTTATAAGTAAAGGCGAACACAAAACTAATGAACGTCGATATTCTCCACAAAATATCGTAGTATTCCACAAAAAACGACCTAGAATATTATTATGCAAGCACAACATGGCTCTCAGAGGTCTGATGAGAAATATTTTTACCATACTTGCCGAATGGTCAATTATGACAAGATGTGAATGTGAAAAAAGTTGCCTGACTCCCTTTCAATTGAACACTGCAAACAGACTTTTATATTGCTGTTTGTGATCGAAGCTGAGCAAATATACATGTTAATAGTCTGCCGGCATAGCTTACAGTCTATACACCATCGTTTCATGTAAATAATCAAATAAACTGAATTTTTTATTTAGGCTCATGCGATGCGAGATCATGTTGGTTATCCTAATTACTACGACAGTAAGACGAAATATTTGAAAAGATTTAAAAAATACAAAAAGGTGTAGTACACAGATAATATACGAAAATTTGGTTGGCGTTGACACGAATCGTCGAATCCCATCATCCAACGCCAAACAATAGGATAGTTTGTTTGTTTGTTTGTTTGTTTGTTTGTTTGTTTGTTTGTTTGTTTGTTTGTTTGTTTGTTTGTTTGTTTGTTTGTTTGTTTGTTTGTTTGTTTGTTTGTTTGTTTGTTTGTTTGTTTGTTTGTTTGTTTGTTTGTTTGTTTGTTTGTTTGTTTGTTTGTTTGTTTGTTTGTTTGTTTGTTTGTTTGTTTGTTTGTTTGTTTGTTTGTTTGTTTGTTTGTTTGTTTGTTTGGGTCGGTGAAATATTTATTTAAATTTAGTTTTATGAACTTTGCATACCGGTATGCATGCTTGTGCTATTACAAATACCTAAATAATTATTTTCTTTAGGTGCTGTTTAAAGCAGATACATTATTCGCCAACAAATTGGCTTTATTGAAAATGTCACATCAAAGAATGTTGAAAAAACTTCGAAAGCATGTGGATAAAGCAGAGTAAGATGAACATTTTCTCAATCAAATTTACATGTAATGTATAATATTAATTAATTTTTGTAATGCTTTTTAGATGGCCGTTAGATCCACAAACAATTAACGCCATGTACAGTTTCAATGAAAACCAAATGGGTAAATATCAGAAATAGTTCATCTATATATACACCATGTCCAAGGTCATATAATCGTTCATTAAATTCTCGTTCCACATATGCAGTAGATGCATGCAAGCCTTCTATAATATTTCCAGAAAAGATTATCGTACCGTAATTTTTGTCTCGAAATGTTAAAAAACTATCTACTGATTGATATGCAACAGCTGTTTTCTCATCAACTATTTAATTTATATTTAATAATTACTTTGGTTTTAGTTATCCCTGCCGGAATATTACAACCACCGTTTTTCCACGGAGTTAATGCCCCTAGGTAAGAACGATATATTGAAAAATATAATAGTTATTTTAATATTTAAATATAATAATTAACATTTCTTATTTCTGTAATCATCAATCCATTAACTGCTGTAACTTCCGGACGAAGAGGCTTTTAATTTATATTGTTTTAAGGTAGTTAGGTCCTCCAACCGTTACTTACACTGAAACCCCAAACTCAAGACATCCTCTTATAGTGCAGCTGTTCAGATTGTTTGTCCGTTTGTTAATCTTAGAAATTTACTTAGAAATTTACTTTGCTATATTTAGCATTTGTATATTAAAGCTTGATATGTCTTTATAGAGCAATGGTATATGGTGCTATTGGTGCCATTCTTGGCCATGAACTAACACATGGCTTCGATAATACTGGTGAGTGAAGAAAATTCTCAGCTCATGCAGATATGCTCAACAACTGACGGTAAATTCCCTCTTCACAGGAGGTGAAGAAGTCGACAGTTGACTTAGGACCGCCGTTTATATTGACCAAGCCCTTGTGACACATGCACTGTGTGCTCTTTTAGAATGTAGGGGAATATCATTTGCGCAAATCCTTTATTGCAATCACAACCGAATTATTCAACGAGCTTGTATTTTTTCAAATAATTAATCAGTTCATATTTGAGGGTTGTCCGAAGAAAGGAATGAAAAGGAATGTCAAAACAGTGGACTTGATAGGATAGGTTTATTGAAGTGTGACACTTTAACAGTTTTTTCGGCAGTGCAAACTATTACTCGTGGTCCTTACTAGATCTTATATTAATTAAAGCAAAAATATTAACATATACAATTGTTACTTGCAGGACGAAAGTTCAATAAATACGGTGAATTGACGAAAAACTGGTGGAGTTCAGACTCTTTGAAGCATTTTAAGAAAAGATCAGATTGCGTAGAAAAGCAATACAGTAGTTATAAAGTTCGAGGGAAGTACAAGGTGAGACTTTCATATACAGTCTTCAGGAATATTTTGTGAATACAGATACCGTATTTATTCTATTTAGCCCCGGCCAGCCTTCTTAGCTCCACCCTTCTTTCGGATTATCTCCCAAAAAATAAGATAAGCTCCCATCCTAGCTCTCTTAATTAAATCATTTTCAGTATATAGCAAAGTATGATCACAAATTTTTTCTACTGATATTAATGTATGTATGATATGTCTAAATATTGGTAAATTGTATATGAAATTTTCTACAAATATTTTTCTAATGATTATTCTATAAATTAATATAATTTAAAAAAACAACATGAAACTTCATAGCCCACACCCTGTAATTAGCCCCCTCCCTTTAATAATATTAAGCCACCACTCTAGAACCACTGAAAAAATAAGCCCAATTTATTTCAACATCCATGAACAACTGTTGTTGGCTCATCATGTTATACCAAACAATTGTTGATCGAATCTTGTTTTGTGTTGGTTGAACAATATTAAATTTCTTAACCTTATATAATTGCTGTACACTATATATATATGCATGCATATATAGTATACTATCATATCATAATATCTGTATCAATTGTTATTTAGTTAAATGGAAAGCTCACTTTGGGTGAAAATATAGCTGACAATGGAGGTTTCCGGGCTTCACAAAAGGTACGTATTCTTTATCTTTTATGATTATATTATATCATATTATTGTAGATTATTAATGCACCTATATGTTTATTTTTCATTCATTCTTCCCTTGTTGTTTCCATTTACTCATCCACTTCTTTACCTGATTCATGTTTTTTTTTAAACAGGCATATCAAACATGGTTAATGAATAACAAAGAAACAACACTTCCTGGCTTGAAATATACTAACGAACAATTATTTTATATTTCATTTGCACAGGTACTGCACAATCTAAATATTACTGTTTTCTGTTTGAGCGTTTATTTCCAAAATATTTTGCATTCATATTTATTTTCTCGTATATTTCAGGCATACTGCAGCAACAGTCGTCCAACACAGGATTATCTGGCAACACTGACTGATCCACATTCAGACGAAACTTTCAGGTAACTTTTGGCAATTTATTCGATTTACTTGTGATGAAGACCATGGATCAAAAGCTTCCACAAACCAAACTATTTTATTTATCGCCATGCAAATCTCCAAAGAACTTTATATTTAATTTAAGAACTGATTAAAAAGCTACTGTACTGTGTGATAAACACACAATGCTAGGTTAAGTTCCATGTGCAATATTAAGTCCCATTGGTGCAATGTTTAGTCCCATCATTACTGTCCATTTTTACTGAATTCAGTATTTTCTCCTCAAGGGTGAAAGGAGTGTTGTCCAATTCTAAAGAATTTGCACGTGCATTCCAATGTCCGAAGGGCAGTCCAATGAATCCTAAGACAAAGTGTGCAGTCTGGATCAGTGATGACGTAGTGCAAGATGAAACAAAGACTCATGGGAAATTACTGCCAAATAAGCATATTAAGGAGAAAAAAACAAAAACGTCCAAATCTACAAAAGACAAGTCATCTAAAACAAAGTCATCTAATGCAAAGTTATCTAAAGCAAAGACATCTAAAGCAAAGTCAAAAATCTTGATGAAAAAGAAAAAGATAGTTAATAAGCATCCTAAGAAAACAAAACATTAAAATGTGGGATAGAAAAGTATTCTCTAGGTTTGTATCTTTTTGAAACATTCACATACGGTGACGAGAAAATAATTTTGAGATGAATTCAATAACTACATTCGATTGTCTACTGTATATTATACAGTATTAAACTTTTGATATTTGGCTTTACAAATATTTTCACAACCTCTTTCAAAACAGCATGGCTGTTCATCTGTGTTTACAGTTAAAGTTGTTTTGTAGGTAAATTCGGTTTCCCATCAAGGATGCCATGTCCAATTAAACTCTATTTCAGTTATTAAAGAAACTAAAGCTGTTAACCTATTGGCCATTTTTATTAAATAATTTAGTGTTCATAAAAATTAATTACGTTATTGCACAATTTTAAACCAATCAGAATTGTGTATTTTAGATTTAACTTCTATTAAACTATAAAATAGTAGAACTTTAAAAAGTAGGGTAAAAAGTAGAGTGGATGAGTTATTTGGATAGGCATCAGTAAAGGAAATTGAAACTTGAGTGAAGAACCTTTATTGAAACTTCAATCCCAAAACCTACATGTATTTGAATCAGTTTAATATTATAAAGGCCACAGTTTCTGCCAGATTAACAACTAGTTATAACAAATAAATATTTTCATTGATAATATTTTGTGAAAAATATATAGATAAAATTGATATTTAATTACAAATAATTGGTAATAAAATTATGTTTATACAACAATGAAGAGAATATAATTTAATTTTTGTTAATTGCTTGAAAATTTTCATGTTATTTTTTTTATTTATTAGAAAAAGCAACATGAACATCAGGTGAATTTTCCCAATAAATTATATAATAATTATAAAATTATATAATAATTTATTATTCATGATAAAATATAAAGTTATTTGCAAGTATGAACCATCTCCCACCTATTATAATCACTTCAAACACTGATTAATAATTCATAAGCTTATTGGCAAATCATGTCCAACATAATATGTCACGTGCAGTGGCTTTAATTAAACCTGATAAAACACTCCTGCTCGTTTATTAATTAAACAGTACTTATTCAATTTTTTATATTGAGATTTGTTTTAGAGTGGCTTGGGTAATACAGTTGTCAGAACTGTCAGGTCATTATGAACTGTAACTCCGAATAAAATAAGCATTTTGATTCAACGTTTTGACTTTATTTAGTCATCATCAGGAATGATTATATTACATGTGCATGCGTTATATATACTCTACGTAATTTGATATAATTAAAAGAAAACCGATAGTTGAACTAAATAAATAATGACTAAATAAAGTCGAAACGTTGAATCAAAATGCTTACTTTATTCGGAGTTACCGTTGTATTACATTTTATGAAAATACTCAGTGGTTCCCGCAATTATGAACTGGTAACTGGAAATTTCAGTGCAGTGTTAATTAACCTGCATGGTTCACACGTGGATTGGGGTTACTGGGTTTGGTTTGCACTACAGTAGATAAAGTATCAGTGTGTGCATGTGCTAACATTTAACAATAAAATTATACTCATGCCAAGCAGTGAATATAGCCATAGACATGTTAGTTGTGAACATATTTCTGCAATCAGTATATACCATGCACTTCTAGAATTACTTTAGGTGCACTGGTCACTGGTCTGCAGAGTCAATAATATGCAAATGCTGAAGAACCCTCTAGATGGCATGGAGGACATGCCCTTCTGGCACCTTAAAATTTTGCAATTGATTATTTTCAAAATTCTATTTCCTTCATTTCAAGATGGAATGTGATTCTTGATATACTTCTTGTCATTCTTGATACAAGGGTGTGGGAGCCTGATTGACATCTACTGTATATCTAGGTGTCAATAAACCATGGTTGCAAAAAAGACCTCTATTATTAAAGATACTTGTTCTATAATGCACCTATCAATGTTAAGCCGGCGGGAAGGAGGCGGGGCAAAGGGGCGGGATTTGATGAGAAAGTACAATTATACAAGTTTCATTTGTGATGAATATTAAAAAGCCATTCATGAATATTAAAATCAGAAAAATCAACACTTAATATACCGTGTTCAGTATTTCATACATGCAAAATGACACAAATTTTAAAAATTTGTTTTTTAAAAATTTGTCAAATACCCCTGCCCCCGGACTGTACTCCCTGGCTGATTGTTAAATTTCTCACTCATGGGATATACTTCTCTTGAAGCAATATAAATAATAGAATATGAACATTTATTTGTCAAGATGTGGATATTATGATATCAACCACTTTGTCCTTTAATAAACAAATTGTTTCAAAAATTAAATTGTATTTATGTTTCACGCAATATTTATTTATTTATTTTATTTACCCCAAAACAGGAAGGACACACCCACAGAGCCGAAGCTCCAATAACGGGTTCCCCGTGTGAGTTGTAAAATACATAGAAAAATTGTATACAAAGAGTTAAACACTAAATACTAAATAGTGCATCACAACAAAAAGCAACAAAGTCAACACAAAAAAAAGAAGAAAAAAAAAGGTCAAGGCGTAAAAAAAAACCCTGTGGTTCCGGTTTCATATCGTGAAAAAATTAGGGTCGGTAGGTCGGAAATAAATTTTTTTTTTGAATATTTTTTTTCATGGTTTTGCCGGGTTTTTTGCTGGGCGATTTGCATTAGAGTCCCGACATCAATATTAACTACAGGTGCGTATTTCCTATGGACGAATTGAGGCAATTTGGTTCAATAATTATTGTGTCAACAGACGCCATTTTGGCACGCTGTATGAGCAGCCCGCAACCACCTGGAAAAAATAGGGTCGCACGGTCAATCGCGTTGAAAAAATAATAGGCCGGGCAGAAAAAAATAGGGTCGGTCGGGAACCGGAACCACAGGTATTTTTTTTTTACGCCCAATCACATAATATAAAGAAAGGGCACTATAGCAGCATAAAGTGTCACTGAGTGAATCCAAATGACGGGTTTTGTGACATTTGACACAAACGGTCTTGTATGTGTGCGGCAATTTTGGGTTATAAATATTAGAAGTTAATAAAAAATAGTAATTAAATAGACAACGTTTAAACAAAGACTGACAATAAAGTTAAGTTCCTTAAAGATATCGGTAGAGTGTTCCACGTTCTGCATGCTCTGATATATTAACACACAAGTATTTTCCCTCTGATATCTAAATATATCAAGCAGATATTGAATATATACTGTATGAGGTGATTGTCCATATTTAGAAATCAGAGGAAGAACATTTGCAATTGTTGGATATGCCTTCTCAAACAATCCATACTTCAAAAGAAAATCGAGAACAAATTTGGCGAAAAATGGCCGTAATCTTCCTACGATTTCTAAATACAGATTTAATATACAGTCGAACCCCTATTAAGTGGACACCTTCGGGACCTCGCCTATGTGTGTGCTTAAAAGGGGTGTCCGCTTAAAGGGGGTTTGCAGAAAAACACAGCAGGAGGCAAATTTGGGTGTGTAATTTGAGTATCAAAAGAGTAAAAAATATCTAGCAAATAATTAACATAAAAGTACATTTCGAACGATTGCTGCTATTCGTAAAAGGCAAAGCTCAAGCGCTTCTGTGAGATCTATCAGACTACAGAAGAAAAGACTGCAGATGAAGTCTTTCGTTCATCCGAATGAAATGACAAATGTTATGGAAGTTAATGTTGGTCACATCCCTAAGTTGATGGGTAACAATTTTTTTGAAACATGCAACCAATTCAGGAACAGTAATAATCAAGCGTAAACATGCACATGTCAACAGAGGGGCTGGTTATGGCGTCGAACTCCCTTGTAAGTTTACGTTTCAAGGAGATAGTTTCTCTTGCAGCTGGTTAAAAGACAAAATAAACAAGAAAGAAAAGTTGAACCTCGAAGATTAAATTAGGTTAGTCTAATATATTTATCTATAGAAACTGCTGAACTTTAACATGTCATGTAAATTGACCTCAATTGCAGTGGTGCCTAAATTACTTTGAATTTGTACTCGAGTAAAAGTAGATTAATTAAGTAATTAACAATAAAACGACTTGAGTAAGAGTAAAAAGTACTGGAGGCAAAACGTACTTAAGTAAAAAGTACCCTTAAAAAATACTTGAAGTACAAAGTAAAAGTACTATTGTCTATAGCGTGTAGGGCGGGGG